AGAGAGAGAGAGAGAGAGAGAGAGAGATCATAATAATCTGGGCACCACATTCAGAGATCATAATAATCTGGTAACTCAGTGTATAAAAGTTACTAGGTAAACATTAAAATGAGTACTCGTGAATCTATTACCCAACTTAAGAACTAAAACATTGCCAGTAGCTTTTTATCTTCATGATCTGTCTCTATCCCATTCCCTGACTTTCAGAGATAATCACTATCCTGGGTTTTGTATTCAGGACTATCTTACTTTCTTTAATATACACTTTTATCACATGTAGGTATTTCTAAACAACATGTTTAATTTCTTTGTTATTATTCAGCTTGTAAAAACCATATATTCTATGTACTCCTCTGCAACTTGATTTCTTCATTCAATATTTCTAAAATTTGCCCTGGCTGGTTTTGCTCAGTGATTAGAGCATCGGCCCTTGGAACAAAGGATCTTGGGTTCAATTCCTGGTCAAGGGCATGTATCTCAGTTGCAGGTTTGATCCCTGGCCCAGTTGGGGCTTGAGTTGGAGGCAACCAATCAATGTGTCTCTCTCATGCCAATGTTTCTCTCTCCCTCCCCCCCCCCCCACTCCCTCCCTTCCACTCTCTCTAAAGAAAAGCAACAGGAAAAGTATCCTCAGATGAGGATTAAAATATATTTAAGATTTAAGGTTCAGCCACAATGTTGCATATCTTTATGGTTTATTTGTTATTACTTGTTATTACGGATATAGAATATTCCATTGGGTCAATCACCATAATTTTTATCCATTCTCCTGAAATGCACATTTCAATTGTTTTAATACTTTTACTATTATAAACAATGTTGCTGATACACACTTGCAAGAATTTCCCTAGGAAATATATTCCAAAGAGTAAAATTGCTGGGTATACACATTTTCAACTTTTCAAGGTAGTTTAGATCTTATTTTTAATTTTTTAAAGCTTATTGAACAAATTGACAGCCCATCTACCAGTATATATATTGTAATATCTTTTTAACTTGTATCTCACCAACCCTTATCAAACTTCCTAATATTTACCAATTTGGTGATTATAAAATATTATATCCTTGGGGTGTTAATCTGTATATTGCAAATTTCACATTTTATCTGCTATTTGGGGTCAGTCCTACAATATGCTTATCATTACCTTTGACCATTTTCCAGTAAGATTTTTTTTTTAACTTGTGGGGGTTCTTTATAGATAATCTAGGTGTTAATTATTTTTCAGTGGCTGGTGATATATCTTGAATATATCCTTTTAAACACAAGCTTGTCTCATTCAGTTCTCAGTGATCTGTGGGTCCTGTGCAGTTGCCCATAAGTACTGGTATTCTGCCTTCATTAGTAATGCCTTGTGTTTGTGTGGGATAAGCAATTTACAAAGCACTCACACAAATGTTATCTCATTTGAGTCTCATATCAACTTTTAAAAAACAAGCTGGGTATTATTATACTGTTTTATAGATAAGGACAATAAATGGCTTGCCCAAGGTCATAGGGCTAATAAGTCCTCACATGTACTCTATTCCATATCCTTCTTATGATTATATGATGCTTCAGCTCTTCCTGGATTATGGCCTATTCTTTAAGCAAATGCTGTATCTCTGCAAAGCATCTTTACTGCAGTTCCTTCTTTTATTTTTGGGTATATAATTCAAAATACAGTTCTAGTCTATGACATTCATTTGAAATTCATTACTTACAATATAACAGATGAATAAAGGAAGTACCACGATAAGTTTTAGCAAACTATATATATTTTTTTATTTAAGAGACTCTAGGAGGATATTTAAAATCATAAGTTGCCTGTTCTGAGGCAACTTATGATTTAAAAAATATAGATCTATTATGTAAGAGAGCTGATTTCAAGTTCAGCATTTTATTTTCTTTTGGCCATTTAAAAAATATATATATTTTATTGATTTTTTACAGAGAGGAAGAGAGGGGGATAGAGAGTTAGAAACATCGATAAGAGAGAAACATCAATCAGCTGCCTCCTGCACACCCCTCATTGGGGATGTGCCCACAATCAATGTACATGCCCTTGACCGGAATCGAACCTGGGACCCTTCAGTCCGCAGGCTGACGCTCTATCCACTGAGCCAAACCAGCTCTTTTGGCCATTTAGAAAGTTTAAAAGAAGAATATAGGAAATAAAGAAAAGAAAACATACTTTAACATTTATTAGCATTATCTAAATTGGCTGACCTACCTATGTCAAATATTAATTTTCTATTTAATTGATTACTAAATATTACCTATTTGTTATCTTAAATATAACTAATATTTATGTTATAAAGTAGCATTAAAGTGTTGAACTTATAGTGGGAAGTAATATTGGTAGGACAGTAATTTAATCACTCGCTCTTCACCTGAAGCTCCTACACCTGAGCCGTTGGATAGCCATCCATCGACTGTGGGAGCACAAGGAGTTTGGGATGTTGTCTCTCAAATGAGAGATGTCCAAATGTTATCTTTCAGAAATTTGAGCTGGTCAAAGATAGTACTGTACTGTACTTCTTACTTTCTGGGAGTTGTTTCATTCATTCATCATTCATTCATTCATTCATCCATTCAATGTCAAACTTCTCCAACCTACTGCATGTGAAATCTGTATCCTTTTGGTAGTTTCTTTGGATCATTCTATTTTTATGTACATTTCATACACCAGAGAAAACCATGTTTAATTAAACTGGCAGTAGCAAGAAAGAACCTGAAGATAAATAAGGAAACAACATTCCTAATCTGAGGTATTTTTATCACCATATAATATTGTAGTTATATCTTAAGCACTTCCTGGGTACATCCTTTGATGGATAATAAGGAGATAGGGCCACATCATATCTTCTCCATAGAGAAAGATCTTTAATAACAATCGTCTATTCTACAGATAATTACTAAATATGACCTTCCCTGGATCTCTTTCTTTGAGTATTATAAATAAATGATCTCCAGCTATGCATCTAGTATTTACTCATCAAATATTCCTACATCCACGCCCAATTTAAAATTGCTTGGTTTGCTCTTGTTTCCATGAAATGATGGTTTCATTGAGTATTTGGAACTGAACCTGAGAGCTGTGTGTCTTATCTGAGGAATAATATATGTCTTCCTGTGTGTACTTTTATGAGTCAGGAACTATACTAGTCTCATGCAGCTCACTTTGAGTAGGGGATAATTATACCACAAAGTGGAAAGCTTAAGAGGTGTGCACTGGGGGGAGAGCACCTGATGACTCTGGAATTCAGATCATTGTTTGGAGAGAAGGAGATGAACCCTGTGTTGGTGATTTTGAGTTCTGAATATTCTACAGCTGAGCTTAAGGATATGGGCCATTTCTGATGACCTAAACACTTCTAATGTAAAGAGAGGGTCATTCCTAGTTGGGCAGCTTCTAATATCACCTAGTCAGTTCAAGGAGGCAAATTACCCATTTGAGAGGAAAGTCATATTTTTAGAAGTACATCCTCAAACCAACTGCTTTTTAAAGGGCCTTGTGGATATTGTGACCATATAATTTAATATCCACTTTGGGACAAGTGGATATTAAATTGGTAGGACATTGAGATTGTTGGGGCATTGAAACAACATATCCAAACAGGGACTATTTCAGGCTAATAAAAAAAAGGGGTCATCCTATTTATGGAAGGAAATATGCCCAAGACCTTCTATGAGTGTAGGGGGGTGGGGGGTGGGGAGATGGGGTGGGGCTGATTTGGGAGATTCTTCACTCAGGATAAAAAAGGACAAGCCTTTTGGAGAAGTCAGGATAGGCCTGAGACAATGAGGGCCTTAAATCTTTGGCACTACAATTTTGTTGTGTGCTTTTTTAAAGATTCCATACTTTCCCATGATGACTAATAATAGAACTCTTTAATTACAAAGGGTCTTTGTGTGGGCCTTTAGGGACAGCAGCGCTTTAATTGAAAAGAGTCTTTGTGTTGGTCTTTAGAAACAGCAAGAAATGGGTCTCTGGGAAAATCCCCCATGTTGCTGTCACCTTGGATGTTGGTGGGGAAAGAGTGAGGAAAGAGGTCTTCGGCCAGAAAGAACAGACTCCTCTGGTGAGTGGGATCTGGAACTGTAAAGAAACATTGGGGCAAAAGAACAGTCCCTGTAAAATGCCCACATGGTGTCTCATCAGCCTGACCCATAAGGCTATGATGTGAGTGCTCCTGTGTGAGTGCAAGAGCTGGTCACTTAGTTCTTTGGGAGCAAGACCATGGGTTCCTACTGACACTATGTGTCCCTGAGCTGTGTGTGGGAGCTCAGCGGCTGCAGGTTTGAGTCTGTGGCCCCCTTGCTTCGGAAGGCCTTGGGTGGGATGCAGGCAGAAGGCCTCCCTGTGCAAAGCTAGTGCCTCAAAAACTATCAGCCCAGCTGAAACTGGTTTGGCTTGGTGGACAGAACATCGTTCTGCGGACTGATAGGTCCCAGGTTCGATTCTGGTCAAGGGCATGTTACTTTAGTTGTGGGCACATCCCCAGTGGGAGGTGTGCAGGGGATAGCTTATCGTTCTTTCTCTCCCATTGATGTTTCTGGCTCTTTATCCCTCTCCCTTCCTCTCTGTAAAAAAAAATAATAAAATATATTAAAAAACAAAACAACAAAACAAACAAACAAAAAACAAGCCGAAACCGGTTTGGCTCAGTGGATAGAGCATTGGTCTGCAGACTGAAAGGTCCCAGGTTCGATTCTGGTCAAGGGCATATACCTTGGTTGCGGGCACATCCCCAGTGGGGGGTTGTGCAGGAGGCAGCTGATTGATGTTTCTCTCTCATCGATATTTCTCTCTATCCCTCTCCATTGCTCTCTGTAAAAAAAATCAATACAATATACTATTTAAAAACAAAACAAAACAAAAAACAACAAAAACAGCTGTCAGCCCATACCTTGAGCTAGGGCAGGTGTGCTCAGGGCAGACCCTTTCCCTCCGCCGGCCCCGCCCACCCCTTTCCCGGCCCCGCCCACACCCCAATCCAGTGCCTTAACTGGGCGGCCGCCTCCCCGCGGCGTGAATTCGGGTCTCGGCAAACTTCCGGCGCGGAAGGTGAGGGGCGCGGGCGCGTCCACTGCGCGTGCGCGCCGGCCCCGGCGGCCCCTGCGCCCCCTCCCCGCGGTGGGGACTTGGTACGGCCGGGCGGTTGGCGTCCCCCGCAGGCTGGCGGCTGCAGCCCAAGGCGGCGGCGGGCTTTTCAAATCTTCTCTCCGGCGGAGTAGTGGCGGCGGCAGCGCTGGAGATGGAGGGGCTGACCCCGAGGGGCCCCGAGCTCGGCCCGGCGGGGCTGTCCGCGCCGCCGCAGGTGAGTGAGGAGGAGCGGGCCCGGCTTCGCATCCTCGGGCCGCCGTTCCGCCCGGGCGTCGGGGAACCCCGCACCCGCGTCTCCAGTCCGGCCGAGGCCAGACACAAAGGGGAGGGCTCGGGAGACTGCATGTTGGAGGGTCTGATGGGGCTTGGGAAGGTGTACACCCTCCCTCCCGCCCCCGGCTTCTGGGGGAGGACGCTAGCTCGGGATGGGGATGCGGTGCCGGGGTTGGGGGGTGGGGAGCGCCGCGCGTCTCCGGGCGCACCTGTCCGCGGCCCCCGCGCCCCCAGGTTGTAGACACTCGACTCTTGTTGGCAAGTGTAGATGATGCAGGGCAATGGGAGCCCCTGGGTTTCCGAGAAGCCCGGCCAAGCCCAGGTTGTTGGCTTCACTGGGTTTGATGGGAAACACCTGGACGCGTGCAAGGTCTGTCTGTCTGTCTGTCCCGGACGTGAACTAGGGGGCGGGGCCGAGGGATCCCCTGCAGCCTCTGCAAGTTCTTGGTTTGAGAGTGGATTCTATTTTGAATCGGATAGAAATCTGTTGGCTAGTGAGCCAGGTAAACGTGTTAGAAATAGAAACCTTTTTGGCTTACTTTTAGACCAGTGTTTCCCAAACTTCTCTCACGATGAGAATCACCTGGTGGAGTTGTTAAAATACAGATTTCCTGAATCCCAACTAAGAAGTGCTAAACTAGAGAACTTTGGAGAACATATAGGTAAAATTGTATACTTAACTAGTGCTCTATATGTTCCCCAAAATTCTAGTTTAGCACTTCTTAGTTGGGATTCAGGAATCTGTATTTTAACAACGCCACCAGGTGATTCTCATCATGAGAGAAGTTTGGGAAACACTGCAATAGACCAACATTTATTTCTTGGCAAAATCAGTTATTTAAAATGATATCCTTTCAACACTCGTAAACCATAACTTGAGGTAGGGTCTTTGATAAAGGAGGCTCTTGACTTCCATTTTTCATCCCCACCGCCTTGTACCTATTTCTGAAGTAGGCTGAACCATATAAAATTGCCAGTTTTGCAGATCAAAAGTTGGTAGGAGGGTAGCAATTTTGTATGGTCCAACATGTTATCTTTGCTTAGAAACCTGTTATCTTTTCTAGAATCTTAAAAACCACAGCCGATTCAAAATTGGTGGGGAGGCTTCAATAGTACTGGGAGAAAGAAAGCAAAAACATGAAAAACCCTTATGCAAAAAAAAAAAAAAAAAAAAAAGTCCAGTGCCTTTGTCAATAATTTGGACCAGCATTTTCAAGTATTTCAAATATTTTGATGTAAAGTATTTCAGTTCTACCCTATTATGTAATTTATCCTAATTGCTAACAAAATATCTTGATTTCTAGTAAATTGGAGATTTATGGAGGTGTTGTGTAGCCATTTAGGTGTATTTATTTAGCTGTGTGCAGCAGTAATATTTAGGAATAATGCAAAATAGAAAAGAGGATAAGATTATGAAAGAAGTTTAGCTACATGGATTATTTTCATGTGGGGAGAAGGTGTAATATTTAATGATGTCTTAGGCAACAAGAGATTGAGTTTTGGAATTCCTTCTGTCAAGATTTTGGATAAAAATTGCAAAATAGTAATAGGATTCAACCTGGCAGGAATATAAGGAAAATGTATACTTGACTAACACTGAATTTTTATTTGGTGTACTTCCCTTGATATTAATAAACTGGCCACGTAATAGGAAGAATAGGACCAAAATTTTTGGTCCAATAGTGAAATACCTCTCTTCAAGCCTTGGAGTTATCCATGACTACTTACAGCATAGAACAGTGATTTTTAACGTTTTTATCTCATGATACACGTAAACTAATTGCTAAAATTCTGCAGCATACCCAAAAGTATAATTTTTGCCCATCTGACAAAAAAAATAGTTATCATTTTGATTCATTCATACCACATGACTATTGTGTTGGCTATTGTCTTTTTTGTTTTGTTTTGTTTTTACAATCCAAGGCACAAAAGTCAGTGTCTCTCACCAGTTAGGTATTGCATATTTTAAAATTCTTTCCTGGCCCATATGGCTTAGTGGTTGATCATAGACCTATGAACCAGGAGGTCAGGGCACATGCAGGCTCAATCCCCAGTGTGGGATGTACAGGAGGCAGCCAATCAATTATTCTTTCTCATCATTGATGTTTCTCTCTCCCTCCCTCCTTCCTTTTCTGAAATCAATAAAAATCTATTTAAAGATAAATAAATAAAGTCCATTTAAAAATTCTTGCAGCACATTGGTTGAAAATCACTGGCAAAGAATATTGATTTATTGAATCAGATTACGGTAAGAACAAAGTCTGCTTGTTGTGGAACCTTGAATAAGTTACCTGTCTTTTCTAAAGCGCAGTTTCCACAGTTGTAGAATGGGTAATTTGCCATTCCCAGAAAGCTGTTGGAATTTGAGAACCTCTTTAAAGTACTTAGCATAGTACCTGGTAGTCGGGATGTGTTTGAGAGGTGACTCTTTATTAACTTTTGTTCTATTTGAGCAATTGAGACAATTACCTACCTTTTCTTACAAATGTTGAAGCTTTTTACGTCTTAATAAAATTTGAGAAGTAATGCAATCATTGCAGAAAAGTGAATGTATATAGAAACATGAATTTAAGAGTTCTTTCTCCAGTTCCATTCCCCAGAATGATCACTATTTACAATTTCCAGGTTACATTCCATATATAAAAATTTCTTAAAATACATATAATTTCTTCTGCAATCGTTGTCATCTTGATTTCTTAACTAATATGTTTTACCTATATCCATTAGGTTACTGATAGTTACTATCTGGATTAGTACAACAGCCCAAGTTAATCAGTACTTAATTAAGTCAGTACTTAATTCCAACACTAAGACCATTTTCTTCGCACTTCCTTTGTGCCATTCTATTAATAGCTCTTAAATCTTAGTATGTTTGTTTTCTATGCAATCTAGATTTTCATTCTTAAGTCATCTCCCTATTTCATTTTCAGCATTGCCTTTTTCATCTTTGTCAGCCTGATTAAATATTTACAAGAGCAGGACACTTTCATAGGCTTCTGTTTGACTTGATTCCAAGCAAGCCCTTACTCAGAGAATTAAAGACTTCCCATGTCCCCCACCCCAGTCTCTTTTCTTCCTGGAGACTTGCACGTAGATACTTCAAAGGAGGATGGATATAGGGAAACAGGCTTCTGTCATGGGTCCTGATCAGCCTTGATTCTGCCTTTGTGGTCAAGGAAGCAGCAGTATTGTTTTTAGCTCCTTGTTCTTCCTCTTTGAGGTAATTAAGCATCACCATTGAATGCTCAATGGGAGCCCTCATTACTTGATCATTGTTTTCAGTGTGGATAGCACTAGGCATCAACTCTTACTCCAGGAATACTTTGCAACCCTTATTAGCTAAAGGCAGGTCCTTCAGCTCCATGAAGCCTCTCTCAGCTGGAGTAGTATAGTTTGACAGAGCAGCATAGATGTGAACTGAAAGAAGTTGCATTGCTAATAAAACGTGGCTAATAGCCCTCCCAGATTCATATTCAAGCATCCTAGAGAAGGGGAGGTAGAGTCACAGTTTACTAAGTATGTTAATTTGTCTCAGTTCAGGATCAGCAAGTTATTTCTGTAAAAGGATGGCTAGAAAATATTTTCAGCTTTGTGGGGCAGGCTGTTGAAATTACTCAACTCTGCCATTACAGCTTGAAAGCCATAGACCCTACAAATGGGTGGGTGTGACCGAGCTCCAATACAACTTTACTAAAAAGGCAGCAACCCAGCCATATTTTGCTAACACCTAAAGGTTAGAGTTCTCATATTAATATTTACTAGATATATTTCATTTCCTTAATGAATATTTAATCTTACAAATAAAAACTTTAAGAAACACACAACTGACTTTACTTTTTTCCCCCCTCCACTATTTCCAAAGCTTCTATACTTTTGTAGCCTTTATCAATAAGTGATAAAGATAAAATAGTCTTCATTTACAAGATGGAAACCCTGGAAGCCTGAACTGATTTTTTAATGTGGCTGTGGCCATCTACTGGTTCCTTAAGGTTGTTGCAATAGATGGTTGTGGAATTTCAAGTAATCCTGCAGTCATTCTCATTCTCATTCTGGCTGTATACTGAGTCACCAGGGGAACTTGGCGCGGGAGGGGTGGGCGATGCTCAGGCTTCCCCTTCAGAAACACTAATTGTTTTGGGGGAGGTCATGAGATTAGGCACTTTTCATAAGGCTTTCCTCTCTGACTGAGGTAATTCTAATGTGCAGCCACTTCTCTGAACTTCTTGTGCTAGTTCAACTGGCTGCCTCACGCTAGCATTTAAAAAGCAACATTGAATTTAATGGCACCAGATGGTACTTTCTTATATTTGAGTTGTGGCTGGAGCTATTCATCCCAGCTTCAAGTTGCTACCTATGTGTACTTTCTAGTACTAACCAGCCTGCCAGAGTTTATTTCTATGGACATAGATAGTCCTTATAAATAATTACTGATTACAGTAAAGAATTTATTATACTTTGTGGCTGAGAAGTCCTAAAAAGATGAAATGGAGTTGATAAGTTCAGTTATGTGTAAAGAAGGAGCACCAGCGAATGACTGCACTTATATAGTATACCAGTTTTGAGTTATACTACAAAAGAGGATATGCATGTGGTCATTACATGATGCGATTACAGGAGGTAATTAAACAGACCTGTTTTCTGCATGTGACTAATATATTTGACTGATTGAGTAGTCATTTACTTCAGTTTCTCTTTGTGTAATCTTCATAGACTATTGCTCTCCTAACTTCAGCTTTTCTTTTTGAAAAGACTGAACTTTATTGTTACTAGAGTCTATTCATTTAAAATTTAGATTTTGATCCAGTTAAAAGATAAATTATAGTATTAATTTTTTACCACATAAGCCAGGATGGTCAATTTCATATAAAACTAGACATATTGCAGCATTATTACATGTTTGTAGTATAATAAAGTATCTGATGATTTATAATTTTAAAAAAGCCACTGCAAATTAAATCAGAGCAGTACATTTCCGTTTACAGAATTTTAATGTTACATATGAACCAGTATATAGAGTCAGGCCATTACAAGTTCATTGTATGGAATAAAAGGCTTTTCACATCTAAAATGATTAAGTAGTTTTTATGGTGACTCTTAAAACTAAAATATATCCAAAACTATACTCTAAATCTCTGTTCCTTTTTTTTTTTTTTTTTTTTTTTTTTTTTTTTTTTTTTTAGCTACAAGGTAGCTAAAACTTCTGACATTTTCTAAGAACAGTGCTTTTGCTCTCTTCTGAGATTTTACTTACATTGCTTATTATAACAAGTAGCCTGTTATCTCCTTGATGCTAACCCTTAGTTTCTTTATTCAGCATCTGCTATTTTAGAAAATGTTTATCCTTGGTTAATTCAGTGTCGTCAACCACATCTTGCCATCCCAAAGTATAACATATATCATGTGCTATATTGTTCACATTAGTGGTTATATTATTGTGTTCGTTTCCTAAAGCTACCATAAATTTGTGGCTTAACACAACAGAAATTTATTATCTCAAAGCTCCGGAGGCCAAAGTTCTGAAGTTAGGGTATCCACAGGGCCATGCTTCCCCTGAAAGCCCTGAGAGAATCCTTCCTCGTTTTTTCCAGCTTCTGGTAGTCACTAGCCTCTTTGGTGATCCTTGGTTGAGTCTCATTACTTCAATCTCTGTCTCTGTCTTCACGAGTCTCATTACTTCAATCTCTGTCTCCGTCTTCACATGGAATTCTCTTTGTATCTCTTTCTGTGTCTTCACATGGCATTCCTATAAGGGTGCCAGTCATTGAATTTAGGGCCCACACTAATTCATTATGACTTCATCTTAAGAAATTACATATGTAGAACTCTGTAGCCAAATATGGTCACATTCTGAGGTTCCAGAAGGACAGGGAAATTTGGGAGACATTATTCAACCTCGTACAGTCATGGTAAGAATATTTAAAGGTTTTCACCTTTTTTTCTGTTCTCTTTATCCAGTAGATTGTAAAGACTTCCTAATACAGCAATAAATTAAGGTTTTGCAAGGAGCTTTTAAAAATAGCTATATTTTTGCCCTTGCTGGGTAGTTCAGTTGGTTAGAGCATTGTTCCAATATTCTAAGGTTGCAGGTTCAATCCCCAGTCAGGGCATATACAGGAATCACCCAATGAATGCATAAATAAGTGGTGCAACAAATCAACATTTCTTTCTCAAATCAATTAAATATCTATACATTAAAATGTTACTTTTCTAATAGATATAAAATTATAATGATATCTGGTACATTTTTCAGATTTTAGAGGCAAAAGAAATGTTATAACTTGGATTTTTGCTGTCTTTTAAAAGACCTTTCTCTTTTTTTCTCTTTTTTTTTAAGGACTGCAGTATTCAAGAAAAAATAGATTTAGAAATTCGAATGCGACAAGGAATATGGAAACTTCTTTCTCTGAGCACTCAGAAAGACCAGATTTTACTTGCAGTAAAAAATCTCATGGTGTGCAATGCTCGAATAATGGCTTATACATCGGAACTACAGAAATTAGAAGAAAAGATTGCAAATCAAAGTGGAAGATGGTTAGTAGCACAGTTTATGGCTCCTGTACTCCTAATTTGAATTCAAATTCAAAATATGATTTAGTCTTAAGGCCAAGTGTTAAATCATCAAAGCCTTTAAAAAATAAGTATACTGGCCCTGGCCAGGTGGCTCAGTTGATTGGAGCACCATCCTGGACACCAAAAGGTTGTGGGTTCGATTCCTGGTCAAGACACATTACTTTGGTTGTGGGTTCAATCCCTGGTCGGGGTGTGTACAGAAGACAACTGATAGATGCTCTTAGATATTTCTCTCTCACTCCGTTCTCACTTTTAAAAATCAATTTAAAAAACATATCCTCAAATGAGGATTAAAAAAAAATAAATACACTAACGTAGCTTCTGAATTCATAAATATTTTGACAGTAGAGCTAAGAGTAAATTTACTGTTAAGGCATCAGTTTTATTGTGTTTAGTACTTTCAGATTATAAAATGAAGTAAGCAAGAACTGACAGTATTTTAAGAAGAACCAAGACTAATAAAAAGGTACCAGCTAAGAGTAATGCAAACTTAGGTGTATAAAATGAAATGAGTAGACAGCAGAAATTAAAAGATATAAAACCTTATAAATGGAAGGGAACTAAAATCTGCTAGCACATCATCTTCATTAGGTTAACATAAGTCTTAGAGAGGCAGGTAACTTACTCAAGGACATGTAACTGGCTAGTGACAGACGCTAATGAGACAGTATTTAGGATTTCCTCAGTAACTTCTGTTTCCTATTCTCTTTGTCACTCCTGGCTGCCCTTCTGGATCTGGTCTAGGATTTGTGTATGAAATTTACATCATATCCTATTTGCAATGCCAGGTCTTATTTGGACCTAAGATTTGACTCAATTTGGTGGCTATATGTTGATTTTTTTAAAAATTATATTTTTATTGATTTTTTACAGAGAGGAAGGGAGAGAGACAGAGACAGAAACGTCGATGAGAGAGAAATACCAACCAGCTGCCTCCTTCACACCCCCTACCGGGGATGTGCCCGCAACCATATATGTTGATTTTTTAATATAAACTAGAGGCCTGGTACATGAAATTTGTGTATGGGGGTGGGGTGTCCCTCAGCACAGCCTGCACCCTTTTGCAATCCAGGACCACTGGCTCCTAATCGCTTACCTGCTTGCCTGCCTGCCTGATCGCCCCTAACCACTCTGCCTGCCTGCCTGATAGCCTCTAACTGCCTCTGCCTGCCTGCCTGATCACCCCTCACCACATCTGCCTGCCTGCCTGCCTGCCTGATCACCCCTAACTGCTTGCCTGCCTGCCTAACCACCTCTGCCTCTGTCCCCACCAAGGTGGCTTCATCTGGAAGGACGTCTGAAATGGTGTCCAGAAGGTTGTTTGGCTGTCTGGTCTAATTAGCATATTATGCTTTTATTATTATAAATAGTCTTACATCACCCATTTTTAATCATTCTTAAAGCTCCAGCACTGGTAAAAAATTTATTTTAGACATTAATTGCCTTTGGGCTATTCATAGTGCTATTATATTCTTGAAAACTAAGGTAAAAACAAGGTCAGAGAAAGGTTTTGGTAAAAAAAAATGTTGATGGGATTGGTACAATATAGCCTTGTGTATTTCCTTGGGATAGTTATTTAATCTCTTTGTGTCTCATTTTTTTTTCATTACAGTGGGCATAGTACTGTTTACATTGGAAAATTAAGATTATACATAAAAAGGCTATTACCTTTTACATAATTAAGTACTCAACAAATGTCAAATAATTTTTATTATTTATTCCTGGCCTTATAAAATGAAATTACCTCAATATCATAATATAGGAAAATTTTCAAATAGACATACATTGGTTTAAGTCAATGCTTCTCAAACTAGGTCACAGGATTATGTGTCAGGAGATATGCAAAGCCATAGAATAAATATGGCATGCCTTCTTATACCATGAATTTTTAAGATAAGCATGAGAAATTTAGAATTGCGGCATAGTTTGGGTTTATTCTATCAGGGGAATATATGTTCCTTCTCCCAGCCTTTATAAGGGCATTTTATCAAGGGGGCTAGTTTAGTGGAAAAGTTTAAGAAGTACAGTGCAGGACTAAAAGTATATTATCTCTCAAAGTTATATGGAATATCCCTCTAGGAATCATACCTGTCCTCCATATTTATATTATTTAAATATTTACTGTAGGCCATGGGGGATATATTCCAAAATCCTCACAAACTGCAGATAGTACCAAAATCCTATTCAACTTCTTCAACTCTGCTGGAAATGTGATAGCATCTTCTTCATCAGTAGACACAGCCTCTTTAGTAATTTTTATAAATTTTCAATTCAAAACTGTTCTTGAATCCATATAACCATCCCTATTGACAGTAAATGGCTTTTGTCCCTTGTTTCTGGGAACCCCTGCTTAAATCCTATAGGCTCCGTGCTCTCTGGCATAAAATGTTGCCATCAATTGGAACACATTTTCTGTTATTTCTTCTACCCACAAATTTAATGCCTTGTACATCGTAACTAAGCACTTACATATTTTTCGGACCATAAGACGCTCCAGACCATAAGACGCACCAGTTTTTAGAGAAGGGAAATGAAGAAAAAAAGATTCTGAAACAAATAGTGTCCTAAAATATTTTATGTGCATTAAAACCCAACATCACAGTCATAAACACATGTAATCAACCCTGTAAAGTAAACAGCAGCATTTAGAACCATTTTAGAGCCGGGCAAGCACACAGAGACCACACAGAGCCGGGCAAGTAAAAAAACTTTTTTTTTTTTTTTAAAGTATATGTGTAGGCTATATTTGGACCATAAGACGCAGGGACTTTTCCCCCCCACTTCTGGGGGGAAAAAAGTGCGTCTTATGGTCCGAAAAATACGGTATATTGTGGCAGTAGCTTTGTGACAGCAAAAGTAGCACAAATTTCTTTTTCTTTCATAATTTCATGGCTAGATTTGTTTTTATTGCAGATCTTGGTAACCTCAGCATATGATTTTTTCTTGCTTATAAAATTGAGCACTTTTTCACTAAAAGGAAATATTTTGTGGCTGTTCTTCACATATCCAAATTGCCAGATCACTACTCTTGTGCTTTGGGACCATTAAGTAAAGTAAAGGTTACTTGAACACGAGCACAGTTAGTCTGATAACCCTGAGGGCCCCTACATGACTAGCAGACAGGTAGAGTATACATTGTGGGTATGCTGGACAAGGGATGATTGGTTTACCAGGTGGGACAGAGCGGAATGGTGCCAGATTTTATCACACTGCTGAGAAATGCCTGTAGTTTAAAACCTATGAATTTTTATTCTGGTTTTTTTTTTCATTTAATATTTCTGGACTGCAGTTGACACTGTGGAAAGGGAAACCTTGGATAAGGGGAAACTACTATAAAATAAATTGTGAGTTTTCTTAATATGGCCGTATGACTTTTCTAATGTTGCTGACTAATAAAAATGTTAAATAAGTTGAATCCCTGTTGGATATATATATGAAAGATAGGAAAAATATCTTGGACTCTCTACTGAAGGATGTATATGATTTTAAATTTTTTTCTGATTATCTTTGATAGATGAAAATAGCTTTGATGCTATACACATTTATAGTCAATCATATAAAAAGTCCCCCTTAATCTAATTATTTCTATTTAAAAAAAACTGAGTATTCTCTATTCTTTTGTGTATAACTTAACTTTATGTACAGATATAACCCGAGTTCACTGATCGAATATATAATTGGAAAGTATAGTTCTTGCCTTCTTACTACATAAAAATGATCTAAAGATTAATAAGAGTATAATAATAGGCTTTTTTGTTCCTTGAAGAAAATTATGTAAATTATGCCATGTGATTAGTCAGTCAAATATTTACCAAATAGCTACTACTTATAGAACATTTACTAAGTACTGTGCTAGTATATCCAAATTAAAAACAAAACAAAACAGGATTTGTCAAAATATGAGACTATATGAATATTCCAAGGTCAGATATTTTTTCTTTAAAGACTTAGCAGTCTATTCCTGAAGTTGATTTTAATAGTCTTTAAGGTAGAAAAATGTTATGTTTTTACATTGCTATCAGAGTTAAAATAGCATTTTCATGACTCTTCTAATACTAGTCTACTTTTCTAAAATTTATGATAAAATGTAAAAAATTTAATACAGAATACATCTAGATTTTTTTCATAGAAGAATCAAATCAGTATGAAATGGTACAATTGAAAAAGTTTAATGGAAAAATTGGATCTAAATGTTCTAGATCATATGGAGATTGGATAGAGTTTAACTAGGTGAGTAGGAGAAATCAGCATTCCAAGAAAGGAAAATAATAAAAAACTGAGGGTGGAAGATGAGCATGAATTATTTAGAGTAGTGAAGAGATATGTTTGTTGAGGCTAAAGATCAAGCCAAAGTTGAAAAGGAAAGGATGGGAGAATAGCAAGATTTAAGAAAATTTGGAATGCTGGCAAGTTCATTGGTATTGACAGCCTTTCTAGGTGCCAGATATTATACTGAGATGTTCACACATACCACTTTACAAACAGAATGGTATAAACCTCTTTATTAAATAGACGCTGGGACAGAAATATTAGCTAACTGGTTCACAGGGCACACCGTGACTCTGTGGCCAGGATGTGAACCCAGATGAAGCCTGAGTACCTCTCAGCTGCCGAAAGAAGCCCATGTGCTCTGTACAACCCTAAGCTGCACTGGTGTGTTATTACAGGCTTTACATTCATTTCATTGTTTATTGTTTATTCTGTTTTCTGCAGAGATTTCATAAAATGAATGTTTGGGAAGGTTATCTTGCAGTAGAGTATTGAAAAGGATGGTTAGACAAAAATACTTGAAATAACCAATTTTTAGGAAAAACATTTAAGGATAGGCACACATAGGAGTGATGAAATAGTATTTGATGACAGAATTCAGGAGATCAAAAGTAGTACATGAGATTTGGGCTTTTCTAATAATCTTCACTCAGTTCTCTCAATTTATTAAAGTAAGAAAATATTTCACTTCA